AGAATTATATTAAGTGAAATAAGTCAGGCACAGAAAGAGAAATACCACATGTTCTCACTTAGTGGTGGGAGTTAAAAATAAATAAATAAATTCACACACACACAGAGCAAACCGGGGTGGGGGGGTGGGGAGAAGACATAACAATTACAATTCCTTGAAGTTGATACGACAAGCGAACAGAAAGGACATTTTTTGGGGGGAAGGGGGAGAGGGAGGAGGGAAGGAGGTTTCGGTAATCAACCACGTTGTATATTGACAAAATAAAATTAAAGAAAAAAAAAAGAAAAGAAAAGAAAGAAAGAAGTAAATTGGGGGCTGGCCAGTTAGCTCAGTTGGTTAGAGCACGGTGCTGATAACACCAAGGTCCAGGGTTCGATCCCTGTACCAGCCAACTGCCAAAAAAAAAAAAAGCAGTAGTAGTAAATGGGGTGTAGGTGTGACAAAGCCACAGCAGAAAAGCAGTACACATCTCACATACCACTGTGATAATTCACATAAAAGAAGTCAGCAAAATTCTAACCCATGAAGTCTTCTGCTCATTTATAGGACAAAATGCTACAGACAACAGACTAGAGCAAAATTAGAGAGGTTTTCTGGATACCAACACTCAAAAGGGAAGGCTTCAATTCTATTAAGCAGTTCACAATCAAAGGCTAAACTACTTATTTATAAACCAAAACTCCTCAGCTCTGGTTTGCCTAATATAAAAAGCATGCACAAATGCCAAGTATCACTGCTTTCTATTTTAGAAGACAGAATTCCTGTATTACCCAATTTGTTTGGAGATACAGGTAGATTAAAAACAAAAAACAATAATAATAATAATTTAAAAACACACACAGAACCATGCCTATTTACCTTGAATGGGATAAGAATAATGTGCTGAGCTTGACTGGCTTGTGGTTAACCCTGTAGTGCAGGTAAGAACACTGTGTTGACTTGGAGATGGAGTCTGAATTAAACCACTTTCAGGTTTCATACCTGGCCACAATGCACCTGAATCAGATAAATTGGACCAATTACAAACAATACACTGGGACTGAGGAGCATGTTTATGCTTTCGAATATCAGCCAGTAGGTTTAAAATCTAAATCTTAAAACAAAAATCAATTTCCTTGTTAGAAAAAATTATTGATTCTCCCACTCGTAATATACCACAAGCAAATACACTTCACACAATTAGGGAATGGGGCCACAGAAACAAAAGCTTGCCAAAAACCCCAACAGCGATATGTATATAATTTCATTTCAACGGTTGGGGGAAATTGACCAGGGTTCAGAAAAAGAGCTACTGACACCCAACTAGAGTATTTGTCACAGTGTCTGATGTTCATA